TTACTATATGGTTTTAAAATAATTACTTCTTTAAATTAGATGTTTCAGTTTATATACATATATGAAGACTGCCCAAACATTTTCCCCAAAACGAAAATCTATCTGGGGGCTGYGGAMCAAATGCAATAATATAATTCATGAAATCCAAATACTTCTTTTACTTTAATGATTATGTTCTGCTGAAGTGTGACATGATTTGTTTGTGTACAAACTAATACAGTATCAGAATTTTATACATTTATACTTCTCATTCAACCACAATTAAATTCACAGGAGGAGGCACAACTTACATAGTATTTAATTTTTTTTACAATAACAAGCTGGAATGAAAACAAGCAAAAATGAAATAAAAGTAACGACTTTCAACTTCTTACCTTTTTAAAAAATGTAGTGAGTAGAAAGTACAGATAATTGTGTGAAAATGTAAGAAGTAGAAGTAAAAAATAGGCTCAAAAATAATTATTTAAGTAAAGTACAGATACCCAAAAATTCTGCTTTAGGTACAGTAGCAAAGTATTTGTACTTAGTTGCTTTACAGCTCTGCTCATTTGGTAGTCAAATCTTTAACAAAGTTATTAGGCAGTCTTCTGATGGGACAGGGTAGAACCAGAGACTACTAATTGCACTAAGTAGAGTTTCTGCCTCAGGCGGCTAATTCAGGATTTAGAATGAGATTTGGGAGGAGAAATGACTTAAGGAGTACACAATAGTGTGGATCAATAGTTAAATGTGAGCTTTGCTGATCTTTGAGCCGGGCTCATTGTTCAAGCCTCTGTATACCCTGCCTTCCTCAGTCCTCTTTGCACTGTCTGTTTATTTCTTCTGACATAGTTCACTCGGGAGCAGAAGATAGCCAACAGCAGCAGTCGTGTTGACTACCGGCCCCACTGGGATTTTAAGCCAGACATCTTGAAGAGAAGATCTGCCGTGCTGAGAGCTGAGGTCAGCCTTTAACCGCTCATTCAAGGCATTAACACCAATTGAATGCCTGTCACAACCCTGCGAGTCAGGGTTTTTTTTCTCTAAATTGTGGACACTTCTGCATAATATTGATAGCTAAGATAAAGGGCTGTGATAAAACTCCTTATGAAAGCAAGTTTCTGGGAAGACTCAGCAGTCATGAAAAATCTGTAAAATCATCAGTCCTAAAAGGCACTTAAAGGCTAGTTAGGGCAATTTGCTTGTGACACACAGTGAGCCCCCTGAAGAGTATTGAAAAAAGAACAGGTCTTGCCCTTTACTTCTTAATCCTGTGAAGCCATTTGCATGCAGGCTATATTAAAACGTCTGTGTATTGCTATCCRGGGACTTCCATATATGATGCTGTTTGGCCATCACCGCCCGCCACCCTCACATTATTTGGCAACGGAGTACAAGCAAAGCTATGCAGAAAGACATAACAATTCTTTGCCAGCTGTGCAACCCAGGGAACCAGATGACTTTACATGTGATCCTGAGAAGTCTAACCACCCCCATTTTGGTAAGATCACGGTTGATAAAGAAACTGCATGGATGTACGAAAACATATATTAATTTACAGTAAAGTGCAAATGAACAATTGAAATCAAGGTCTCTCAAATATTATTATTGTTCCAATTAATTCAACATGTAATTAATGCCTTTAAATTGCATTCATCTTTTTTATTCTTTCACAGCGCTTTCATCAAACTCCGGCCCAATGAAGTCTACAAACCACAGCTGTGAGAAGCTGCAGTCACAACTTCCAGCGCTGTCTGTGTATCAGTCGACGTATCACAGCCATCCACTCGGAGCCCTCTGCAAGAGCCGGTTTGCCAGAGCATCACGGACTCTCTCCAGCTGCCTTTACACAACTAATCACATCAACAAGGACCTGAACCTGAGACAGCGCTTACACCTACAAGTCCCTGATCACTGCTTCAGTCAAGATGCGATAACGAAACAGCCTTAGAAAGTACTTCACATACTACTTATAATTTGGAACACTTAATCAAAGTGGTTCTGTTTATGTATGTATGTATGTATGTATGTATGTATGTATGTATGTATGTATGTATGTATGTATGTATGTATGTATGTATGTATGTA